GAAAAATAAACAGCAACGTATCTTGTTGAACAACACATAAGACATAGGGAGAAGACAGTGAGAAAGATCTTTTGTTGCAGAAAAAATGCAAGTATAAAGGACAAAGCATGTAAAAGCATGTAGGGTTTTATGCGTGAGTAAGTAACAGAGCATAAATCAAAAACCTGTTTTCAATGGGGATGGTACTTTTATCATCGTTTGATGTTGTTGTTTATGACATGGATGATTGAAGTAGATGTTTATTGATACTACTTACATGGTATCGGTCTTAATTTTTCGTCGATGGAATGATTTTGCGTGTCGGTTTCTTTTTTTTGCGCCACTCGCGCGTGGTTCTCTATATGAACAATAAAGGTAATGAACACATTTCCTTTATATTCTAGAGCGAAAAAAAAAAATTATTTTCGGAACAAAAAAAAAGAATGTCAGCGAATCTCGGCTCTTTTCTTCGCATGATTAATCCCCAAAAAGTGTTGGTCCGTATTTTTTATTTTGTTGTACCCGAATCGAAATCAATCAATCAAAATTTATCAACCTATCCACAATAATGAGATGTTTGTCAGTTACTGAAACAAACAACAATGAAATCGACGCCACATAAAAATAGAAATGAGAATTTTTTGTGTAAATGCAAAATATTTGGATAATCACGCGCTCGCAAAAAGAAATCGGTTAATGACGCGCTGATCGAGAAAACCCATTTTTTCGTGCTTGTATCTGTGTTACGAGAAAGGCGAATGACGCCCAATTCCCTAATCATTTGACGATCCATTTCTTTCTAGAGTTAGGGTGTTTAGCAAAGGTGGAATTCAAAGAACAAAGGGGGGAACCTTGAGGGGTTCGGAAAATATCTTTGTGTTGTTATCAGTACTCGGAATCATGAACAGATGCTAATACTAATTTAATATTTTGTATTACCTAATCCAAAAAAATCGCAAGAAATATTTGTTCCCCTTCTTCACTGCTCTCGTATGGGAAAAATTTCACACGAAACAAAAAAAAGCACCAAAAAAGAATTTATTTTTATTCTCCCTGTAGGAATTCTAAATAATTCCGCGACAATTTTTTTATTATTTACTAACATATGTTCACTGAAGTATAAGTCATAGTGTGGAAAATGTTTTAGGCTTCAGCACAGGACGCAAAAGCAAGCAAATGAATAAATGAGTTACAACAAACAAAAAAATAACTTTAATAGTATCGAAGCAAAAACAAAGCAAGCAAGCAATCAATCACCATAACAGCAGCGGCATCTCATAAAAGTTAGCGCGCGTAATTATGTATGGGTTAGTTGAATATTTTCCATTATATGTTATATGTGTGTATGTGCTGTACAATATCCTATTATTTATTATCAGGTGTCAATCAAATATTTATATTATAAAGAAGAGCAAGGGAACCTATATAATAAAATAATAGAATAAAAAAATGATAACCTGTCAACAATCTGGTTTATGATATTCGCGTTTTTTGCTCCCATTGTTCTTTCATAGAGCATTCACTCATTATAATTATTTTAGTTAAAAATCCGGGGAACGAATCATGATCTATGGGAGATGACGTTAATGGCTATCAACAATGAGTAATCATCAACATCAACATCAACATCATCGTTCATCATCCATCATCATTATCAGCATCATCAAAAAGAAACCCTTTTTTTTTATTGTGGTAAAGATCTTTTGTCATGAAGTTTAGAAAACAATTGACTTGTTGTTACGGGCTATTGTGTGTTTGATTGTTTCTATTAAAAAAAAAAAAAATACGCCAAACTTTTTTTATTATCATTTAAGTGTTGATTAGTGATATGTTATGTGAATGTGGGCTTTTTTATTTATTTTTCCTCGCTCTTATTAGACAATAGTCAAGATTCTTATTGTTTAATCTGGTTTATTTTTTGGCACGAGTCATCAAATATTATGCAATAAAATGAATCTTTGTACCCCACGTGTACTGTTGTTATTATTGTTATTATTATTATGATATTATTATTATGAAAAAGATTTCCCTTCTTTTTAATTTCATAAACATCTCTCACAGTTTGAATATCCTTATCGTGGTGGAGTGTTTGATGTTATTGCATATATAGTTTTAGCTGTATGTAAGGGTTCATTCTGACAAATTACAAAGATGATCTTTAATTTGGAAAAATTTAAAGTAAAAAAGGAAATTTTCTTTGTTTCAACCGCATAACCATAAAATTATGAACAAGATATGGGAAAAAAACTTTGTTGCAAACCAACATTTTTAGTCGTTGTTAATTTCGTGTTAGCGCGAATCTAAAAATCATGCTATTAGCCTATTATATGTCTCGTGATATATATATATATATATGTGTGTGTGTGTGTATGCCAGTCTGTCTCTGTATATTGATGCCCATGAGTTTAATTTGTGTATTGCTGTATGTGTGTGTGTGTGTGTGTGTGTGTGTATGAAAGAAAGATTTTCTCGTGTGTGTTGGCCTAATGCAATCGCAATTTTTTGCGATTGATATTCATTGCGTTCCTCTTTCACTCTTTCAAATTCCGAAATAGCACTATATTTTCTTTGCATCAAGTTACTTAAAGTCGTGAGCAGAGATCCGATCTAAATCTAGGTCGAAGTTCCTTGATCTACGGAACGTACATGTATGTCATATTTACAAATCTACCATTTCGAATAAAAGTGAATACATAAAGTGCATATTAATACATGCATATAAAATTCCATATAGCGCACCATTAAAAAATGACAAACAAGCAAAAGCATGTAAATATGTACATGTATAATATATATTGAAGAACAGAACTAAATCCAGGGAGATTATTTTTAATTGAATAACAAAAAAGTAAAAGTAAATTTTTCAAACAGTTGTTGATTAAACAGTTTATCGTCATTTCTTATTATTATATCTGCACCGTTGAATATTTATGCAGGGATATATGCATGTATTGCATGCACACACAATGCACCACATTATATGTTGAATTCGATTTTTTTTTTTATACCATAATTTTTGATGGTTGGTTTAACAAAAATTTCCTCTGAAGTTATTTTAATCATAGATATATTGGTCGATCCATGCTGTCGATGATTTCTTATGCATTTCTGTTTTACACCAAGCATCGGCTATCATTTTTCAACCAACCTACATATCGATATCGATATCATTCGGCAAAGATTCTTAAAACTGGAATGAAAATGGGAACTTACATTTTTCATTTAGGTTTATTCATTATACGAACGAATACACCAAGAGTGAGACAAAAATGTTTAATGAAAAAAAGGGAAAATAAATTCGAGTCTCATGATCATAAGCGAACAGAAACAACGGGAACAAATGCCCAATCAATCAATCAAATTTTAAATCCTTTAATAAAGCTTAGTCATATTTTTTAATTCCATTCGGTTGCATTGAATAAAACCAATAAGAATTTCACGGTGAGAATAAGATTCCCTCTTTTATCACAGATAGTTATAGCTACAATAAAATTACCAAAGATGGATACACATCTATATTATATAAGAATATATATAACCAACAACAACAACAACACCACACACACACACACACATATATTATAATAGCGATAATACATTCTGTACACATCAAAACCAAATATTATCAGACATTACATTTACATATATTGCTTACACACACACACACACATAAAGTAAATGCACACATCTTTCATACATTAAAAACAATGCATTATTTGATAATTAAAAAAAAAAATAAAAAATAATCAATAACAAATAATAAACAATCAGGTAACATTATAAGACGCCAAGACCTGTATGGGCAAAAATTAATGGACGCGGTATACTTCTATATGTAGAGCAACACCCGTACAGGTCCAGGTATCTATGTGAAAAGGAGAAATGGTTAATGTGTCATTCTATTTTTTGCACTCTAATTTCTCCAAATTAATTATTACACTCAATCTTTAGTAATCATTCTCCGTTTCTCCATAGAAAAAAGCTTATTCTTATGACGATATATTATTCACTTTCACACACACTCTCCCTTACTCTTTTCCTCCTTTCTATTCATCTATCTCGATCTTTTCCTTTTCCTTTCATCGCTCACTTTTTAATGGCGTAATCATTGTCACCCCATTTTAGCAAAGCCGCATCCCTCTCCAGCTTTCAAAAAATCTATCCCAAAAGAAGCGTTTCATCTTTTTTTTTTTTGTGTTGACTGTGTTTTTGTGTTCGGGAACCCGAGTTTCGCTATTTCGGAAATTTTAGGTCGGGGTATTACGTTTTCATCCTGTATGTGTGCGTTCTTGTGTCTCCTCCCTGGTGCGCTAATCATCTAATTCGTATAGAAGACTTGCAACTAATGAATTAAGTAAAATGACTAAAATAACTTTTCGAAAAAAAAAATTTAGAACGGGTTAACACGGAGATTCCTTGAGTAATCTATGACGAAAATTGCATCTCGCCATTTAATTGTTCTCTTCAAAAGATCCCTATATAAAAATCAAGAGATGCTTCTTTTTTTTCTTTTTCGTATTGTTGTCTCAATGATGTATTTTACGGCGAAATCGATATTCTGACAACAATCAGTTATTTCCGCCGGCTACAATGGTCCTTTGTTTGGGTGTTTGTTGTGTTAAGCGACGATCATGACCACATATATGCTAACTGTTTTTTTAAGGGGATCCCATCACGATAATCATATGGTGCAGAAAATAATGAACAAAGTTACACTTGTCAAGGGAGGTTGGAACCGAGGAAAGAAGAAGGTTTCCACTATAAAACGAAGAACTTTAATTAACAAGAGAATTAACACATCATTCATGCATATTGAATGTCTTGAAACGCCATTATCATTTTTTATTGTCATGCTCTTTAAAAGATGTGGTCACGTGCGAGTTCGGTGCTATCTAATTTTTTCGAAAATTTAAATGATCAAAAATGTAATTTAAAATGGCACTTGTACAAAATTGAGAGTCAATAAAGCGTAAACTCTAAAATGCGTACGAATAATGCCATTGAATGATTTAATTACCAGAATGTCTGCCAATGGATCACAGGAAAACTTTATCTTGGAGCAAAATGGTAAACAAGACGCAAAACGGGTTTGTCGTAAGGTTTTCTCTAGTAAGGATTCGTATCGGTATATTATTGTATGGGATAGTGGGAATTTAGAGTTTCTGTCGTGCGATCCCATTAGTGGTTTAACTGTCTCTCTGGCGTTCTAAATGAGAATTCGTTTGGTCATAGAGAATTATGAAAATGACCGAATTAATGAGGCTTTGAATTCTGAACTATCCAATTCAATCAAACAAATGGCATCATAAAAGCAACAATATGAGCATGAGGTTAGTTGAAAAATCAACATTTTGGATGCAGCACGACATCCGTTTTAGATAAATTTAATAAAATTAACCGGAATAAAACGTTAGTGCAGCAAGCAACCAAAAGTCAAGGGTACATAACATCAAACTCGCAGTATCGTTCATTTGTAAGTATTACGATTAATATATTTGTACACTCGGAATTATCCTAAGAGATGGAAAAATAACCCTAACCCATCCATCCCCTATTATCAATCAACAACAACGACACAAAAGTAAACTTGTAGTTTTACAGTTTAAATTTTGTTTATTGTTTTTTTCTCGCTGATAATTTTTTTGAGCTACAAATTAAAAATAAACCAATCATCCTATAGAACGAAAATATCTTCTTTAAGTGTACGAGTTTACTTGTTTTCCTTTTTTGATTTTTAAGTGTTTGTGGCACCAACTGGTCACTAAGAATATTTCACGAATGATGTATTCTATCTACTAACTAAAATCAATAACAAAAATCTGTAAGCTTAAATTTCCAATTATGTTACAAAAAAACCAAAACGGGTATATTTTTTTTGCAACTAAGAAAATGTTTTTTTTTGTGTATCTTGCGTGCAAGAGTGTCTGTGTTACGAAAAATGTATGAATTTGAAACGTAATAATAAAATAAAGAGGCTTTCGAGATTTTACCTCGCCTGTCCTGTCAAAGAATAAAATAAAAAGATCAAAAAATAATAATAGTAATAACAATAACAAAGGGGTGAAGTAACATTTTTATCGACATCCATCCCTCGACACGGAGTAAATAATAATAATTAATGTATCGAGACAAAACAAAACAAGACAAAGACCGAATCAAATTTATCGCAATTATCAAAGATTCGAATTACAAACTCAAAATACAAAAGAATCAATTGAATAATATTTAATATTATTATGACTATTTGGAAAAGGAGCAGGGATGATTGAAATTTAACACAACAAAAATTACTGTGAAATTATCACAAATTCCTATTCAGACTCCCGCATGGGTCCAGAGTCAAAGTCAACAACTATAATATAATATAACCAATATATGACAGACAATTCATTTAATGTTGAAGAATATTATTATTATCGTTATTATTATTCGGTATTAATGAATACCATTTTGATTCAATAATTGTTTTGTCTTACAATCAACAGCGAATAAACACAATAGAGGAAGAAAGGTAAACATTAATTAATCAAATAAAATTTTTTGTAATTTTTCCCAATGTTTATAATTATCATGCGATATTTGTTATTATTATTATGTATTGATATTTATTGTTTGTGGGTATGCGAGTGTGTGAAAGTTGTGGTAATAGCGATGAGTATTACAAAATATTAGGAACAAACGCGACTGCTGATCACTTACGATTGTTTACCAAGACAAAGTCGTTGGTCGCAATCTTTCGAAACTTTAAAAGAGCACCTATGATTGATGTTGTTGGAGATAAGGGCGCACACACACACACACACAACAAAGACATTATTTTATCCCCCTCGAATTTCCCCAAAGAATCATGTATTGTCGGTCAACCTTTAGTTTCGGTCCGTTCGATAATATTAAATAAAAAATAACGACGATGACGACGACGACAACAACAATATTTAATTAATTAACCCAGAGAAATTATTAATTTCTTATTAGTTTGATTTTTGATTGAATCTAAAACGCTATCTTATTATTTGTGAATTTTAATTTCGTGTTTGCGTTTCTGTTTACCCGTCGCCAGGTGGGAAGAAATCACGCTACAATAGCCGCATTGGTCTCATATGATTCGCGCAGTGGTTGATTTTCTATTTCATTCTTTCTCTTGTCCTTCTTCCTTTCATTGATCTAGTTTGTTAATTATTTTGGGTTTAAGGGGTTAATAATTAATTGATCTAATTATAAGTCATCATCCTCTTTTATCCGATATTTTATCACAATAGTTAGCTGATAAATTTGATAACTATTAATAGAGGGAAAGTGAAAAGAGAAAAACGAAACGAACGATGAATTAACAAGATGATTGGATAGAAGATGGAAGGATTTAATACGAAGGATAATTAAGTAATAGCGCGATTAAAAATTGTTATATATTGGTGCATCAATTCCTGTCTTCCAAAAAATGCCGAACTTTAGATGCACAAAATATTCCCAAAATTCTAAAAGCTAGCCCTTTTTACCAAATTCTAAATTCCAAATTTGCAAATTGGCACACTGTTCACCAAAAGAATCAGTAAATAGCATTATTCAGATGCAACTCAATGAACATTGATTTTCTAAACGTCGGACAAAAGACCAGAGTCTAATGACATCTCTATGCAATGAATGTCGATTGTGGGTAGTATTCCGGACAGGTGTAACAGCCGTACCGGTTATGCCAAATGTATGTCGTGGCATTAACACCGCTTTCATGCTGTGTTCGAGCTTAGGTTGGTTTTTTAATTTTGGTTTTTTTGTAAATGAAAAAGGAGAACATAAGAAAGAATTCACTCGAAGTACAAATCGGCCGTTGTTAACTTCATATTTGTTTTATTACATTGTTCTATTTAATGTGTGATGATTTAGGTAACACCTTTGACTCCCTCAAACTCTAAAAAAACCGAAATTTACAATTACGCACATCCACAGAAATTTTTCCTTTATTCATGTAAATGATCTCAGCAAATTGCAATAATCCGAGCTAAGAAGATCCATCCCTATATGCCCAAATAAATGCAACTGTGAAAAAAAACAATGCCGACTAGTAGAATGTCTTGATATTATGGAGAGAGACAACGCATACATTCATGCATACATGCATACGTACATACGCAGGAGAGATATAAACATGTAACGAAAAAATAATTAGTAACGATAAATAATATGTATGCATCGGAAATCAACAAATGAATATGCAATGACTATCTGAAGTAGGTAAAACTCGGAAAATTATGATGGTCGTCGTCGCTGCAACCGTCTTTCGCTTTTTAGGCATCCACCAATTGCCTAACCTACCAAGATGTATAGGGGTAAAACAAGGGGCTCATACAGTTTTGTTTTATCTTTAGGAATCTAGGAAGATGAAGGAGTGTGTTTTTTTAGTTGCGTGAAAATGAAGTGCGAGTCTCAATAAGAATTTTACGCAAATGACAGAACATTGCATACATTAGGGAGAGATCAGATGGGCGGCGTGCTTTGCGATACGAAAACGAATCAATAGTCATAAATTTGGAAATCGATGAATCTCCTCGAACCATCGAGCATAGAAGTCAAGTGATGGATAATTTTTCATTTTGTGGGTTGGGTTCGAATGTTTGTTTCTCAAATCAAAATATGAATAAATAATTAATAATGATCAATTTCGAAAAAGTAAATAAATAGCAGTTAAATAATGGAATTTGTCCATTTGTCAAACGAATCACCAAAATTTCATTCGGGAATAAGACAAAATTGGACGCTTGTCTTCAAGGAGTAATAGAAAAAACGGCTTTATTGTGCAAAGACACAACATTACAAAAACTTAGTGGGGAACCTTTTTTTTGTGTATGACGTAACGCGAGATCTTTTGTCCTCAGGTGAATATGTAAATATGCTGGAATATTGGCGCGTAAAACAAACAATTAGAAATGGAGGGGATATTGTAAATAGTTAAAATGTGCCTTTGGCGTATACTTTAATAGTCATAACACAGCCAAAAAAGATAATGAATTAAACTAAATATCGAAATTCAAGAGGGCGTGTGCTGTTCGATTAACCCAAAGCCAAATCGGTTCCCTTAATAATAATCTTACATTCTAAGATGTGTTTTTCTTATTATCTTCAATTATTATTGGTTTTTGCTGATTATTAAATAAAAGACTGCGTCAAAATCGATAATTAAAAAACGGAATCATTAGATTGAATGGGCATTGACATATCTTTTGGTTCGTTCATACTTCGTTTGAACATTTTTAATTTATCCTCGGTTATTTCCTAGAATTTGAAATTCGAAAATTTTGCATCTAATAAGTTTGTAGTGCGTAGTCATTAAGGTTTGGATGTGTTATTAATGTAATACGTGCTTTAATAAAATTTTTAATAATCAAACATTTATTTGCTATTATTATTCCCCATTCCAATGGCTGAACAATTAAGTCACAAGAACATAGGCTTTGTAATTACTTTTCTTAGCATTCATTAGTTCTTTGGTTCTTCTCCGTCATTTTCTATTTTTATCCTCTTCTTCCAAGATATTTTATTTCATTTTATAGAGCAATATTCTAATAATGATAATATCTACCTTTAATAGCAATGAAGAAAAGAACCAAACACATTATAGCATGTATGTACGCACATACGTTCAAAAGTTGCGTAAATCAATTTTTTGTCAGATGTGAATATCGTTATGTAAAGGTCTAATATATCCAATGACTAAACACACAAAACAATAAATTATAACTATTAGAAGTAAATAGCATTCATTAGACACAAAACACAGAGATCATGTTTAACAAGACTAAAGGCATTACATGCATAAAAATGAATACTAATTAACACATTATTTATTCATAACCAATCTTCTTTATCATAGTGATGTCAGTTTATTCGTGTCGTGTTCTTTAATGGATGCAAGCTTATTTTTTTTAATTTATGCAAAGTCTGTAAATCAGTTAATCGAGAAGCAAATGGTAGATTAAAACTAAAAAGGTGTTTTTCAATCAAATCTGATTTTAGATTTTTCGAAATTAATTATGTTGTGCGAATAATTGACGGATAACTCTTGCTTGCATCTCAAATACATATACATGTATAACAAATTTCTCTGAACCGCACATCGTAAATCTTAATATTTTTGCATAATTAATTGATGTTTCCAGCCACGATCGCCACATGTAAGCCACTTGTATGATTCCAAAACATGTCTTGATCATTTATGAATGATATGATATCCAAAGTTGATGCAAGTTGAAGAAGCAGTCGAAAAAGCTGAGAAGCAGCTAGGAAAGAAAGAGATAAGGTTTCTGGAAGGAGACGCTGTGAGATTAGAATGTAATAAATGATGCAAAATTATTCATTTATCCATGGAGAAATATTTGATATAATTTTGACTAGCTTTTGCGTTCTTATTTTCTTTTTACCGCTTATCCACACTATGATTTCAGTATACAGATCATCAAATCCTGATATCAGCCTTGCTAATCTTCATAAATAGACGGCAGAGGATTGTGACTCATGCACAAATAAAGAAGGTACAAACTGAGGATAGGTATGGCCATTATATATTTTCATGTTGCACAAAGTTCGACGCTATTTTTCTTTCCAAGAAGACTGGGATGAAATCGCTTTATTAGAGCCTGATAAATGACCTTGACTACAAAGATATTAATCTCTGACTATCAATATGATGAAGTCTATGTTATTCTACTTGTGTACCCGCCGTTGATGTTTGACAAGGCGGCTCTTGCACAGTTTCTGAAAAAGAAGCGCGTTTTCCATCATCTAAGCATTCATATTAATTCACAGATTAATTTAATGACTTGAGAGAACAATATTATTAAGTGCAATCTGTATTTTTTTTTTTACTAAATCGCTATACATTGCTAATAAAATTTGCGTTTGAGTCAATCATTAAAACATGATTCGACACTTTTTTCGTCAACTAGGGAAAGGACGCGCGGAGATTACAAGTTTATAGCTGCAATTCTTCTTTTCGGGCAAATTCGTGAACTTAATCCATACATATATAAAATATATCACTCAGCTTCTGAAACCAATATGCTAGTAAATACCTGTCTTGGAATGATGTTAGATTTTGCGACGAGCCATGTACGGGAGATCGAAGCATCCGAACTTTCGAAATAAGCTTTTGCAGAAATGGATCTTAAGACTTTCGAAAACGTTAGGTGTTGGTAATGTAAGACTCTTAGAGAGGGTTAGGCAAAAATGAAAGTTCACAAAGCAGCATGTGAGGTTCTTTCAGAAAATGTATTCATCTCGTCAGATGTAAAAGCGACATTTGACTCAAATACATTTGTGAATCTCAATGTTAGAATTATTATGGGACGGTGGTAATACGGAAGAGCATCAGAGATGAGTATTGTACCAATATTGACATGATATTGAGCTCAAAATTTCGTTTATGTTGAGTGAGTTGAGAATTTATTCACGTCAGGTGTTCTTTGAGTATATAAAAGTCAGTACTGTACCATCACAAATTTTGATACTATTTTAAAGTGTACCACATTCTGTGTGATAGTACAGTACCGAATCTCTATGCTTAACTATCTGCTCGTCCCAACTTCAGCAACAGAAGATCACATGATACGTGATGAGCACAAACAAATAAGAATGCGAAATATACGAAAAAAACAGAATGTAAAAAGCCAAATCTAGCTTGGAGCACTAATAAAAAATGTTTAGGTATGCATAATCTAATTCTATCCTTTATCTTACAACCCTAATGATAAAACGAATTTGAGTGTTAATTAAGAGGAAGTCCAGAAATTATGTGATTAAAATAGGGAAAGAGGGGGTAATAGTCTCAAAAATCACGTCCATGTAATTTTATATATGAGTCATACGTTCTATATTATTACCAGGGGAAGAAGGGGAAGACGGGGAAGCCTCATATTAAGAAGGTAATTTTTACCTTCTATCCTCGTTATAACGGTCTGTCGGGCTGAATCTTAGCTATAATATTCTTAACAAAATAATAGTATAAAATTTCTTTCTGACGCGTTGTTTCGCTATAATGAGGGATCCGATTTAACGGGGTTCGTTATAAACGAGGGCAAAATGTATTTGCTATTGCTGTCACGTTCGCGTGTCTCATAATATGACGAGTGGCCCATGTGGATCGATAACGCTAAGAATTGTTATCAAGATTATATGTAAAATTGTCTCACTGACATTTCTCTAAACTAGATTACGATATCTGTTTCGCATTTTTCATTTTCTTGTGCCGGATTCTAATCGCAAAGTAAGAGATTAAGATTAAGGTAAGGATTAGTTAGAGCAAAGATTACAAAATTGCCTCCCCAAGTTAGGTTTAGCCGGGTTGATCAAATTTAATTTGTGCCGTCCGGCATGTATCATTATTTGTTTGGAAGAATTTTTTCGGATGCGCTTGGAGTAGTCACGATTACCGATTATCGTTCCCACTAGGTTGTTAATGGAATGCTCAGATCAACATGATCTGGAGCACTCCATTAACAACCCACGCGTCAATATGATAAAAAGAAGCAAGTATAAATTATTCTTGCTCTACTTTTTTATAAAATATTTGATAAATGGTCTATGAGTATGAAATTGGTCTAAGGGAAAATATCGTAGCAACCTCGAATACAACTACAGCCACCCAGTTTTAAAATCTAAACCAAAACTGTTCTCAGTATTCCCGGTGCTTTTCCAAGATTATTATCTTGGTCCACTGGTCCAGTTCAATGATGTTCCAGTGGATTGCTCCAATCCAGTACCCAACACTGATTTCGACATATGGTGCAAATAGAATGCTATCTATATATGCTTTTTAACAGCATTCATCATTTTATTATATATCAAAATATCGCGTAATATCATAAATAAATTTTCATTAATTTTATTTATAAAGATATAATATACATCAAGATTATGAAGATATAACTGTAAAATGTCAAAACCCGGCGTCCGGGGCAAAGGACATTTAGATTCTACTTTTACAGATCATAAAAGCAAAATGATATAAAAGATATGAAAATTGAAAAAAGACAAAAAAGCATATGAAAATATTAAAAAAGAGATAAGAACGCGAAATCCCTAAACCTTCAAAATCTTTTAGTATAGATTTTGCCCTGATGTGATTTTACGATGTTTAAACGCGTTATTTTCATCTCGTTCTGGTGCTTGTTTTGCTTTTCTCAGAAATTCTCCGTTGATTGGTAATTCGTATAATTGTTGTTCGAGCTGAGTAATATCTTCTGGCAAAGTGAAGGTAAAGAAGGATTTTTCGTTTGAATAGACTTTTGTATGAGTTTTATAACTTGCAAGTAATCATTCCTAGTTTTCTCAAGTCGCGTCAGTAATTCATTATTGTAATAATAAGGGTTTTCGTTTTTTATACGTTTTTCTTCAATTATAGTAAGATCCAAATAATCAACGTATGCATCATTAAAAGGAATTATCGCATTTTCTCGCAAAAATTGAGCTAATTTTTGAATAATTTTTTCCATTGTTTCCTTTTCTTTTTCTAGCTGTTGACATCTTACTTCAGATTGTTCTACAATCGCTTGCTTTCTTTCTTGATCGGTTTTATTTTCATATATTTGCTTCTTTATTTTTGGATCAAGGATATTTTTTATTACTGTTTTAGTCTCATATCTAATATGCATATGTTTGCTCCAATGGCACTTGCAATAACCGCAATAGCCATTTGAATTTATCGCTACACATTCTTTCAAAGCTGCTTTGTTTATAAAGGAGTGTTGTGCTCCAGTACAATTGCAGTGTGGATGACAATGTGTTATGTAGTCTATTTTGTAGATATTTTGTTCTTCGGTTCGTATTCTTTTGACGTATTTGACGCATTTGACGCATTCTTCACTTGTACATACAGTTCTCAGATATGGCAATCCTACTAATTCAAGATCCTCTTGAGGAATGTATAATTTCCCTTCGAGTTACTTCATAATCTCGTTGATGTTTTTTATTTCCGTCTGTTGCATTTTGATTAATTCAATATTTGTCTCGATGAGCTGTGACATTTCTGCAAGTAATTTGGTAAGGATTATTACGATATTTCTGGATTCATTTAGTGATAATGTGTCTTTGATGTTGTGTGGTGGACATTTTGATATATATTCAAGAAGTCTCATTGCTTCATTCACAGATCTTTTCCAGCTCTCCGCAAAACTTTTTTCCTCTTCTTTGTGGAATTTAACTTTATCTTTGAGTGCTGCCAGAAATCTAAATGATTCGCTATCAAAACAGTACACTGTATCATGCTTAATTTTGATTTCGACACCAAATCGATCCTGAAGCTCTTTTAAATGTTTCTTGAGTGGCGGAAAAGTATCACCCGGACGATAAAATGTTCCCCTAGCATTGGTGAAGCAAAACACAATATTGTCCTTTGCGCTTTTATGAAGATGTGCTAATAACTCTTGAATATAAAATCTAAATACAATAGTTGTACGCGAATCATTTGGCTTGAGGAGGATGCATATTCCATTTAAATGCTTATGAAAACTAAGATATTTTAGAATATTATCCAAGTTAAGTTTGTCGATCAACCTTAGAATTTTGTTTCCATCGATATGAAACATATAACTTTTGCATCCTTGAGTTGATGCCTCTAAAATATCAAATTGTTTATTCGAATCATTGCCGTTTTTTCTTAAAAAGAATTTGTCTTTAAAATACCAGACAATAGAATTTTATCATTCTTACTATATCGATATATTCAAAATTTATCAGTGATAAAATTCCGATTCCACATGAAAACGTGATGTGAGTCTCGTGATCTTTAAAAGGTAAACCAATCAAATCGCTTGACATAATATTTCGATAAAATTGGGATTAAGGTTTGGATTAAAGTTAAAGTTATTTTAATAGACAAATTTATAGCAAAGTTTCGCAAGAACATTTTTTGTTAAAACACAAAAATTTCGTAGGCAAAATTCTGAGATACAAGATATTTTTCAAAAATAAACAGTTAACTGCTGCCTTGGTGAGTTTGTAACAAATTTATTTTAATGTGCATTACGCGTCAATGTCATACTGATAGAATTTCCACGAGTTAACATTATATCTATAAAACGGAACAGTTATTTATCATGGAAATAAGTATGTAAATAAAAAATTTTTTCATTTAATCCTCCCATTTCCTCACTCTACTCGTCTCTCTTACACTCTTCGCATTCTCTTATAAACGACCACGTATAAACAATATTGTAATTATAAATAATTCACGAAATTCGACATCAGCTACATCAACTCCTAATTACACTCATCACATTGTCAGCTATGGATGTTAAAAGTTCTGATTCAATCCCAAAGCTGAAATCATACGGAACATATTATGCAGTTATAACAATCAAAGATTTATTCAAATAAGAGCATATAATGTAATAAGTACATTAGTAACGATGCAGCTGGCAGCACGAATAATACTAAATACCATTGAATTGCATTCTTATAAGTTTTGGAATCTTTTCAAAGTATGTCTCCTTTGAGATCAAAAGACAGATGAATTAATAAAAATATACGTTAAAACAATTTCCTATATAAGAGGAAGCACTATTACAATTACCTACCAGAAGAAATTTACACGCATCCGAATTGCGGATCAACAACTACGTCACCAATACTTTTCTCGGAAACAACACAATTTCGACAATGCTAATTAGAAAAGAAAGAAACAATAACCAAAATATAAAACACTTATTTGAGCATTTATTATGTTTTTATTTATTAGATCACCCGATTTAATGTATTCGAGCGAATGGATAAAAGTCACAAAATCGATAGCTTGCACTCTGTCTTTGAGTATTTCAACTAATATAAATCAAACGAGAAATTATTTATGTTCAAGAATTATAAATATCAATACGAATAATAAGCTCGTACAATTTTTTGAATAGAATTAAGAACGCAGTGGCCGCCATATGTATCGACAAATAAATAAATACTTACTTTGGCTATATTAGGTTAAATTCGAAAAATTATAAAAAATCATGTGAAATTTTAAAAAAAATAAAAAATTACATAATAAAATGTAATCGATAGAGATTCCGGCTCTAAATTCGGAAAAAAAATGAGAATAAAAATTCACTGCACTAAACCATTTTAATGATTATTTCAAGGCTGGTAATCTAACACAAAACTCGGTAATTGATATAAAATAAGATTATTTTAATATAATCTTTATTTTGGTAAATATTATTTTACTTACCAGCGGTTTTTTCCGTGAGAATACGGCATCTTTGGTGTATTTTAACATAGAACCCTTCTTTTTGTTAGTGAGAATTGAGAAAATTTAATAATAATAAAGAAAAAGCGAACATTATTTACTAGGACAGAATGATTTACCATTACTCTTCGAGACCAAACATCAAAATCTACCAAAATAAAATTTATTAATTAGTTACTTTCACATAATTACGGATCTCCGGTGCATAGGACAAAGATTATCATTCTCTCTTTTTCGAATAATATTTATTATTCTAAGATATTTATATACTAGCTACCTCACAAAAATTCGAGAGTGGACATCATCTTGGGTCACCTCAAGAGGAATTAAAATTTCTTTTAAACCGTAATTATTTACGAAAGCTTCACATGTCTTGTTAAAGTTCTTTATTTCGAAACATATATTTGGATAAAAACAAAATATCACTATATGTAAATTAAATTACCAAAGTGATGATCATACAACTGAATACTCTAGTGAAAATTATACGACTTTCCTTTTAAAATTTGGAATAAATTCAGCTATAACGTTATTTCCATTTTCTACGTGCTACTTTTATTATTATTTTTGGAGTGAGCTAATAAGAATGCGGTTTTTACCGCAACGATAACAAAGTTGATCTGACTCATCAGGAAGAATGGATAATTTATTGTTTTTTTGGTTCCTTAATTTTTTTTTTGCAAATTTATTAACAAAAAGAGGAAAATTTATGAAGAAAAATGTATTAAATACGCATCAACCAAATACATTGTTAGAACAATAAGCAAAAATTATGATTTGATTAGATTTACGATTAATTGCAATTCTAGGCGATAAACTAAAATGATCGTGGCAAGTTTATAGATTAAATACAGTTTATCGAGAGGCGGATTTACTAGAACTTTTGCTGGAGTCTAACTTCGGTTGTCTGATATTATTTTTTTACAAAAAAAAAATAAAAATTCTAAATGAATAAATAAGAATACTTACAAAGGAAATTATAGTATTTTACATAAGCTAATAAATTATGAAGAAGTTGTCGCGTAATCAGGTGGTGGTGGAATCATTGTCGCGAATCCATAAGACGGAGGATTTTCATTTACTGAATGAATAATTCTCCTATTGGCAACGATAGTATTATTATCGCCATTATTATTGTTGTTATTGATGTTATCGGCATTACTAGTATTCTGGCTATTGCTTCTAGTGAGGATAGGTTTTGAAGTGACAATAATCGGAATTTCAAATTGTATATTTCGAGTCTGTCTTGTCGCAATTCGTTCATCACCATCATTATCATCATCGTCGCCGTCGCCGTCGTCGTAACGTCCTCTAGTTGGAAATCTATTATTTGACATTGAGAATGTACGCAAAGTTTCTGCCAATTTTGATGGTCTTAAAGAAAATGAGCGTCTTGAATTGTTTCTATTAATATCGTGTGGTTGCGAAGCTACTGTTCTACGTCGTCCTTCAAGTGCTTCCAATGAATTTATATATTGATAGTGACGATGTTCGTCGGCTGATATAGGGTGACGTACTATATGTGCAGAATCTTCAAGAGAGCTGCATTCCTCTGTATCGGCAAGTTGACTTAATTGTCGTCGCAATAATGAGAACTGTCGCTTTCTTCTTTCTTTAATGGTTATTGTGAATAATAATTTATGAAAAAGTTCAATTAATCTCGTGTCTACGTCACATTTTACTCGAGGAAATAATCGAAAATTTATTGGGATCGTGTTTGAATTTTCACTGAATGGATCAATATTGATCTTTTTTTTTCCGAGTGGAAAGGTTTCTTCGTACACGCTCGCTATTACTGATATTAATGACGCTTCTCCTGTCGTCTAATTAACGAAAATAATTAATTACAGATTTACATGACGCACTGCATAGACAAACATGCTTACATGAAAACTGGTATATTCTTTAAGCCCATACTCAACCGACTCAATAATAATATTCGGATTCATGGATTTCAGATACAACTCTATTGATACCAGTCCACCTTCGCAATAAGCCATAATAGGTGTACTAATCTGATATTGAACATTATTATTATCCAGCATTCCTTCTGAAAAAGATCGAGCAACATTGATACTATTACGATTAATATTAAAGTTGGATTCATCTTCCATTATTGTTCGTGCATTTCTCATTATGTGATCTATTCTCAAGAGAGATCGTTTCAATGTTATAATGCATCTCTCAGAAGACACATCACTACAAAATGTAGGACGATTAAGTAACGCGTGACAGTAGTATTCGATTTTCCCTCTGGTTCCTTTGAAGGAAGTTGGTAAATCCCCTGGTAAATCGAATTCAAAGTAGAATTCATGTGTTCCGGGAGGAATTCGTTTCTTGGTGTGTTCAGAACTAAGAAAATGACTTATTTTATGATATAATATTTGTTCTTCGCTATCTTTTTTTCGTATAAAGTAGTAATATTTAAATTAGTAGAAAATTAATCGTGTATTAATATAGTGATAGTTTATGTCACTTACATTCAGGTCTAGAAGAGTTTTGTGGTCCACAAGAAACACAAACCTTCCCTGTAAAAATCAAAGATAATTGATTTGCCGTGATTATTTTATCACTCTTTAAGATTATTCTTCCTTGTAATTGACATCCGCTAGACTCGTCGGGTGTTCCGTACATTAATCCAGTAAAGTTTTCGTCAATTTTGATTTCCAATGAAATTTTATTTTTTCCAAACATTTTGTCACATAACCAAAATACAATTATTGTTTAGATATTAGGAAAAATAAAAAAATCCTGTTG